CCCGGGAGGGGAATAGTGGGGGCAGGAGTCCCAGAGCAGAGGAGAGCAGTCCCAGGCCCGGAGGGGACTATGGGAGCACGTGGTGCAGGAGTCCCCGAGCATAGAGAGTGGTTCCTGTCCCAGAAGAGGAGGAGGGGGTGCAGGAGTCCCAGACCAGAGAGAAGCGCGGTCCCATGCCCAGGAGGAGAGCACGGGGTGCAGGATGGTAAATCTGGGGGCAGGGAGCAGCTCTTTGTTCTGTGTTCGTACAGTGCTTGGCACACTGGGGTCTTGGGCCATGACTGGCGTTTCTAGGTTCTCCTGCACTACAGCGAATAAATATTGACAGGTGCCGCCGGCGGGCTCGGTGCCATCAGGCCTCGGGACCGAGCGGGAGTAGCAGCAGCCCCTGCCCTGGTCACTTACCGCTGGCTGTCTGGCTGGCCGAACGCGAAGCTGGTGAAGGAGTGCTGGGCGCCGGTGTCCCAGCGGAACAAATCCTTGGACGTTTTATAGGTCAGACCTAAACGAGAGCACGGGGGACGTCCTGGGGCTCCAGTCCACACGGGCACAGCGACAGCCGCGCACCACCACAGCGCTGGGCCTGAGTCTCATCACACAGGTCCCCATTGGCTGCATCTCCGCCGAGGAGCAGGGCTGGCCGTCCACGTGAGTCAGCAGCCCCAGCAGCACAGCGACCGCAGGGCCATGAACCGCGAGGGATCTGTGCCCCTGCTGCTGAGCTGTGTGTCACGAGCCCCACACTGCTAGCAGCGATTCTCCATTAGCTCAGGGGACTTTGGAGCAGTGGGATCAGTTCTGTCCCTGCTGCCATCAGGAAGTTAAGATTGTATCACACTCCCAGCTCTGAACTTGCCTCCACTGCGAAGCCACACGTGGGCTCTGCCGACTCAAACAGCCGGGGCTGCACACTCAATGCCTCTAGCAAGCCAAACACCTCGCTGTGCGTGGCAGCCTCTGGGCTAGTTCCAATGTCCTGTGCCCGGCCCCTAGAGAGACGGGGCCCATCCCCCCTCCCCATCTCGAGCTCCCTCACACTCAGAGGGCATTGCATTGCGAATGCCCCACAGGCCAGCCCGCACGGAGGGCACAGTGTGGCAGCTGTAGCTGGGTGCGGGTTCCCAGCCTCTCACCCGAGCCAAACTCCTGGAGCTGTCCCTGCTGCTCACACACCCTTTCCAATACCCCCCGCTGAGCCACCATCTCCCAAGGCAGCCAGCGGGTAACTTCGACCCAGTCCCAACAGCGAGGCAGCATGGTTTGGCCCAGTGACTCCAGGCTGAGGTGTCAAGATGTCCTGAGTTCTAATCCCGACTCCCAGGGTGACCCCTGGCAAGTCATGGCCCCGCTGTGCCTTGGTTTCCCCAGTTGTGAAACACAGAAACCTCCCTCCTGGGGGGCTGGGGAGGGTTAATGCTAAGTATTATCAGACAGCAGCACTTCCATCAGCAGCCTGAGGGAGAACATCACCCCATGAGCAACTCTGCCCCTCGGAAACAACAGCAACCGAGTTCATTCATTAGCTCCTGTCTGCAGAGCACTTTGAAGACGACAAGCTCTGTGGAGATGCCAGGACTGTGATCACTTAGGGCATGTGATCCGGAAAGCGGGGCTGGATTTTACTGTACCTAGGTGCTGCCCTACAATCGGAGCGAGGACTTTTCAAAGTTGGAAAGACGGGACTCCAGCCTTTGCACACAGCACAGAGCTCTGCGCCTGCCTCGGGATCCCGCTAGGGTGACCTTGCACTCTCTGCCGGCAGCGCTAGGACAGACTGCATCATCCTCCCTCCGGGCTGGGACCCAGCCTGCAAGGTCTCTGGGGCCGCGATCACCTCCTCCTTGCCTCTGGAAAGTCCTGTCCCAGCCCTGGGGCTCCAGCTGTCCTTCAGCAGCAAAAACTGCAGCCACTCACCGATCCAGAAGTTCCGGGTCTCGAAATCCGGCTCTGTCACCTCATTGGTGGGTTCCAAACGCCCCAGGTAAAAGGCCAGAATATCCTGCACTTTCTGATTTGTGATCTGGGCCAGCATGGCTCCTTTCTCCTGCAGGGGATCAGACCCAGACAGCCCAAATCACGAAATCCGTCCAGCTGGCACCACAGGCTAACCCTGCCCTTCAGCCCCAGTTTAGACCCTGCAACCCAGACGGGCCAATCCTTCATCTGTGCACTTCCCCCATCCCCACCAAGCTGTATCCCGAATCCATTCCAGGCAGGCAGAGGAGTCCAGTTCCCTGGCGTCTTCTCTTCCACAGGGAACGAAGGGCCTGAAAGCTCCCAGCAGCACTGAGTCTGCTGCGCGGCGTGAACACGTGTGGCCCATGGGAGCCCAGAGGCTGGCTTGCTTTGTTCTCATGGAACGGGCACTCGATAGAGCGACTTGCTCTCCCAGCTGATCGTCACCCCTGTGGGCAGATTAACTCCCCGGGGCTCCGATCCGGCGCTCTCTGTCTATCGCCTGCACCAGGTGTGCACGAATTGCTTGCGGCACTGGCCTCAGGGATCAAAGCCAAGACCCTGCCTGCAAATGGAGAGAAATTTCCAGCCACAGACGAGGAGCTGGCCTGGGCTGTTCGCTCCCAAACCCCTGCCATGGGAGAGGGCTCAGGCTGCGACACGTGGCAGCCAAACCAGACTGGATGCTCCCCCTGGGGCGACTCAGGAGTGAAATCGATGGAATGGCCCATGGGGGCGAGAGCCTGAGGGGCGGGGGAAGGGCTGGCATGATGCGTCTCGCTGTGGGCTGCACCCGGCCGCCCTCGCAGATCTCCCTTCCTGCGGCCCATCCCCTCGGCTCGCCAGGGTCAATGGTCAGCTGGGACGTGCCGCCGCAGGCCAGGGTGGCTTGTGACACCCAGCCCCGCTCCCGGGGCGTGCTGTCCCCCACAGAAAGCCATTAACAAGCCGGCTCGAGGGGGGCTCTTTTAGTTACACTGCAGAGGCTGTTTGAGCCAGAGGCCCCAGGTCCAAGCCCTTCTGCCAGGACCATGGGACTAGCACCGGGGTCTACAGAACGTGGGCCGGCTGCCACTCCCACACCACCGCCAGGCCAGCCAGAGCCCAGCCCCGGAGCACTGCCGAGAGTAGGCGCCGCAGGAAGTACCGCCCAAGTGACAGCACCCTGCAGCCTCTGATTGGCCCATGCTCCCTATGTAACCGGGGAGGGTGCCCAGCAGGCTGTCTGGCCCGCTGTGACTCCAGACCCCATCCTGCTGCCTGTTCTCCAGTCTCCGACCCAGCTTCGCTCTGACCCTCGCTCGATTACTCCCATCCCTGGTCGCTGAATAGCGCCCCGTGGCTGTCCTTAGCGTGTGGACACAGCCCGGCCGTGACCAGCAGGCCATGCTGCCTGAACCCTGGTCTCTTTCATCCGCCCAGGGGCATCGTGTAACATTTGCTCACAATTCGGAAACCACCACAGTTTGTATCGTGCCCACCACGCGCTCAGCCCCTGCCATGCAGTGGTTTTGAGGAGCCGCTGGAGACCACCTGGGGTCCCGAGTGAATCCAGATCCCTGCGTTCCTTATAAAATGTGGGGCCTTGGGGACTGAAGAGACCGCAGGGCTGGTGGGAAAGAGGGAAGCCCCCTCCCCAGAGCGTGTTAGCACAAGCTCCAGTGCTGTGCAGGTGAAGCCCAGCCTGGATTTCATTCCCCTGTCCCCGGACTGAAATATTATCGAATGTGGCTTCCTAAGCAACGCACTAGCTCTGTGTGCATGAGTGAGTGAGGCTGCCCTCTACTGGACGCCCCACAGAAAAGGTAAGAGACCTACTACTCCTAGCAGCTCAGGAGCTCTCCTTTAGTTCAAGCCGTTGTGGCCTGTGTTTTGGGACTGGAAGGAACAGGGTCTAGCCCTGGTTTCTGGCTCTCTCTATGAACTGGGTCTGTTGCCTGCAGCACAAGGGCTGATGGGGGTTACCTGGCATTTTATTTTGGCTCCATAGTACGTGTCTGCCTCAGAGGAAACCATGAAGCAGTCCCCGTCTATCCTCAGGTCGCAGGTGTGCAAAGGGAACTGAACCTTCGCTGTGAGAGGAGAGAGAGGGAAGGATCAGTCCCTGCTTTAACCCCAGGGACTCTGCCTGCAGGAGAGAAAGCAGAGCCCTCTACACGTGCCAGTCCGGTCACTCAGCAGCCAGGCTCTCACCCGTAACTAGGGCTGCCAACCCTCCAGGACTGGCCTGCAGCCTCCAGGAATTACAGATTAATCTTTAATGAAAGATTCTGTCATGTGATGAAACCTCCAGGAACATGTAACCCTCCCTGTAACGCTCCTCAGCCCAGCAAGCCGGGAGTGTAGGACATGGAACCGGAAGGATTGGGATCATGCACCGCTCTGGTCTCCCCACAGGGCGTCACTCTTACCCCAGGCATTACTCCGGCCTAGCAGCCTTTGCATCAGGCAGGTCAGCAACTCTTAGAGGAGCCCGCACTGGTAGTCAGACGTTTGGGGGAAGTTTGTTCAGACTCCCCATAAGTGTGGCACCATTCAGCCCCTCCCCTTGGGCAACCAGGGGGGTTCATTTAACAGCAGCACGGAGCCCCTGGACTATTTTGTTCAGCTCTGACCCGGCCAGTGATGGGCCAACTAGCCTGAGCAGGGCCAGCCACAGCTGGGGAGCATCACCTCTGCAACTTGGTCTCATTTCTAGCCAGCAGCTGGGACCGGGAGGGAGGCAGGAGGCGAGACTGAGCAGCCGTCTCCAGAACAGGGAGGGATGGGCAGAAGAGCAACAAATTACAACCAACCAGCTGCCTTGCAGCACAGCAGGGGGCGCCCCCTCCCCTGGAGTCATTTACACCTTTGCAAAGTGAGGGGCGAACCGGGCAACCCCCGCCCCCGAGGGCATTTAACACTCACCCATGCAGCCATGCAAACTGCGACACAAGGTGCTGGCCCGGGCAATCAGGCCCAGGGCGGGGCCCAAGCCCGGCAATGCATTGATGCCAACAAGACAAGAGCAGCCGGCAGCAAGGCCCCCATCCCTGGAGTAATTCTGTGCTCACCTGGCCACGCACTGGAGCGCACACAGCGCAATCCTGGGCTACTCCCCAACCAGGCCTGCCCCATTCTCGGGTCTGCTCTCCGTGTAACCCTAGCCCCGTAGGGAACCCATTGGAACCCCTCTGCCTGGGCCAGGGGGACGTCTGCCGGGATCCACGTCTGGCCCTGGCCGCTCTTGGGGCGGGGGCTGATTATAAACAGCTGCTGAAAATGGGTTTGAATTTGGGGGCAAAGCCGTGGCTACAGCTGTATGTACCCGATGCTGAATATGGGCAGGCCCCCCACACCCTGCCAGGCCCGGACTCTGCCCGACACAGGGTGCAGTGGATTGGGGTGCCCCTTGCTCAGCCTGGGATTGAAGAAATCTAAAGAACCGCACAGGGGCACACCTGAGGCCACGACCCAGCTGCCTGGAGTCCTGGGCCCCCGGGGAGCTCGGGGCCCCCAGCAAAGGGGCCGAGTGCTGAAAGCAGAGGCTGGGCTGAACTGCAGCCTCCCTTAGTGACCAGCTTGTGAACCAGGGTCAGCAGCCAGCTTGGAGGCCCCATGAGCTGCCGGTGCCCAGCCTGGAATGGCCTCTGGGCGCAGCCTGGGAGGGGAGGAGCCGAGCTGGCTCCCTGTGCTCGTTGGCAGGGAGTGCGGGGGCTGCACCGGGCTGGGACCGCAGCTGTCCCTTTCCGGAGGATGTAGGGGGAACCACGTGACGGAGCCGGACTCACTGCCGCACTCCGCTCCGCCGTAGCCGATGTCGCAGAGGCAGGAACATTCCTCCTCCCGGAACCGCCCGTGGAGACACTGGATGCTGCACTTCACTGCAAGAAAAACGGGCAGTTAGTCTGCACCCCGGCCTGGCGCTGGCTCCCCCCAAACCCCCCGTCCCCTCCTGGCAGCGTCCCAGTGGAGCCAGCACAAGCTCGTAAACACCTCGGCAAGCACCACAGACACAACTGCAGGCTCTGCAATGCACACGGGGGCATGATAGTGACACCACAGGGGACACACACCCTGCATGGGCCACACATACCCTGCATGGGTCACGCAGGTCTGCACACTCACACACACTGCATGGGACACACAAACACACACTGCGGGCGGGGGGGAACACACATCCTGCATGGGTCACGTGCGCACACACATATTTCATGGGACACACACACACTGACAATGTGGTAGCAGAGGATGGTTGGCGGATGCACCCTGTAGACGGTTGGCTGCGAGCGCAGGCGCTTGGCAGTGAGTGGCTGCTAGCGATAAAACAAGGGAATTGAAGGAACCAGCGTGGAAATGGCCTAGAACCAGCTCCCTAAAAGGGACCTTGCACGTCTGTGCAGGGAGAGAGGGCTGAGCGTTGGGAGGCTCACCCGGGAGCAGCGGATTGCCCGCCTGGTAGAGAGTGACCAGTCCAAGGAGCAAGTTCCAGATTCCAGTGGGGCTTCAAGGATGCCTGGAGAGCCTGGGAGTAGCAGGGGGGTACGGTTCCCCAGCCAGGAGGGGGACATCTCAACCTGGGTTCCCCCCAGTGGAGGTGAAGAGACGGAAACTGGAGCTGAGAGTGAAGGAGCTGGAGCCGGAGGAGTGGAGGCTAGCAAACTGCTCAGAGCAGCAAAAACATGAACTGGAGTTGGAGGAGAGGCAGGCCAAGAGGACCTGCCGTGGGGTAAGTGGGGAAGGACCCCAAGATGCCTGTTCGGCAGGAACAGATTCCAAAGTGTGCCCAGTGTAATGGGGGAGGGCTATCAATGCCGACCTCCCTGCCTGGGAGAAGGCTGGTGATTTGAACCAGACTGACCCTGCGGACAGGCACCGCTGTCTCACCCCCCGGCTTGGTCCCAAGGCCATAGAGGTGTTCAGCCAAATGGACAGTGCAGAGACTGGGGACTATGAAGGTTCAAACAGGCTTTGCTGCGTACATTTGAATGGACCCCTGAGGCAGATAGGAAAAGATTCCAGGGTGTACGAGAAACCCTGGGCATCACGTACAAGGAGATCACTGTCCTGCTGGGAGAATCTCTCTGCAAGGGGGGAAAGGGTGCGGGGCCACTTCTGCAGAGGACTTGTATAATCTGGTTGGATTGGGGCAGCTGTAGGACATCTGCCGTCAGAAGCCCAAAGCCCTGCAAAGTGCAGGTAACGCTGGCAGACTTGAGGTTATGGACAGCAGACGGGGTGGGGGAGAGAGACCCACATCGGGGACGTGGAGGGGGAGTCACCCAGAGACCTCTCAGAGGTGAGACTTCAGGAAGCGCAATGCAGGGGTGCCCACGAATGCTGGAGCAGGCAGACCCCCTCCAGGGACCTGCGGGACCTGAGATGTCATTATTGTGGGCAAAATGATGCAAGGTGGTGTCATGTCCGAAGACACAGGAAATTTTTGCCCAAGAGACCCCTTGAAGGGTTAGAAGGTGAAGGGAAGACAGCCGGTAATGCAGGCTTGGAGAGTGAGCTGTGTGTCGATCCCTTCAGAGGAAGCAGTCACCCAACCAGCTCTTGGGGCAGAGCTGGCCAGGGAGGAGTGGCAGACGGGCTTCCCCTCCAACCAAGCCCAGCAGATACGTCTGCTTGTACCCCCTGGGCTCAGGCCCCTCTGATCCCCAGGGGGAGCAGCAGGTGGGGGTCAATGGGGAGACATTCACGGAGTGGAGAGATTCTGGGACAGAGATTCTTGTGGGTGTGGTGCAACCCCACCAGCTGCTGAGGGGCCATGTAACTTGGGGGAAAGCTCCCCAACGGCAGCCATTCACCTCCTGTGCAGACAGAGACACGGGGAGGATGGGGGGGGGCTGGTAGCCGGGGTCCTTCAGCACATCAGCTTTGACGTACTCTTGGGAAGTGATTGTGTCTCTTTAAGACAGGATCCAGACCCCGTGCCAGTAACAGCCAAAGATCTGAACCCAGAGGTCGGAAGGTGGAGAGGGCAGGAGCCAGGGAGCATGTGAATGGCCCCGGCGGGGAGGAGGGGATGTCCCCCCTGGCTAGTAGCACAAGAGAAGATCTCCAAGGCTCGAGTCTGCAGCCAGACCCCTGGAGCTGAGTGGGACTTCGGCCCTGCACTGAGGAGAGGTGGGTCAAGCTGGCTCTGATGCGGCAGCGAAAGCAGTGGGCTCGCTCCCTGCCCTCACTGGGACACGGGCGCGGGGGGTGGTCGGACCCCCAGTTAAGATCCTGTAGCGAGGATACATCTGAATGGGGCCCCAAAGAGGTTGGGGTGCAGGATCAGCTCCCTGCAGAGGTGCTGATGGGGGATGGGCTGAAGAACTGGCCAGACGATGCCCTGGTCCTTGCCTGCGGCTGAGGTCAGGGAGGGGCACTGGCAATCCAGCCAGCAGGGGTGTGTGGAACCTCCCATGGGGGAAAGGGAGGTGCCAGGGCCAGGGCTTAACAGGGCTGAGACCAAGGGGGAAACTAAAGGCACAGCAATGAGGGCTGGGCCCCGAACCCAGCAGCTGAATTCCAGACCTAGCCGCAGAAGGATCCCGCCTGGAAGAAGCGGGTGTTGCAAGATCCTGGGGAAGGATCCAGGTGAGAGAAGGGACCCGGTACCAGGAAAGGGCTCTCCGAGGGAAAACTGACCCTTGGGGGATCAGAGGGCAGCTGGTGGTCCCTCAGAAGTACCACCGGGGGGACGTCCCTTCTTCTAAATATCAGGGGGTTCAGCGCACCCGGTGAGAGCTGCTGCAGAACGTTTAGTGCCCCGGAAATTCCCAGGGGTCCACCCTTTTGAGTTGGTGCAGGGGAGGAGAGGGAGGGGACCCCTGGAGTTGATGAGAAACAAATGGGGACTCGGTGGTGGAGTCTGAACCATGGTTCTGGGGAAAGGTCCCTGAGCTCATGGCTTTGGCCAGGAAGAACCGAGCCGGGGCCCAGGAACAGTAAAAGGGCTGGTACGACGACGTGCCTGATCGGGGACCGGAAGAGGAGTCTCAGCTCAGTGCGAAGAGCCTGGGGAGAGCCCTGGGAAATCAGCAACCAGCTGAAGGAGGTGAGTCATGTGTGTGGAGCTGCCCAGTTGGGCAATTGTACCACCTGGACATAATGAAGCTGTACTTTGGGAGGGAGACTGTCCGTGCGGCCGTGTGTGTGGGCAGGGGAAGGAGAAGGGGAAAGGGAATCTCTCTCCTGAGCCAGGAGCCAACGTTCTGCTGGAATAACTTCCCCCCTCTGACCAGCTAACCCCTGCCTGCCGGCAGAGATCAGAGGGGCTGCGTTGGTCCCCGCAGCCGGGCCTGGGCTCACTAAGCTAGCTGTCCATGGGGGGAGAGGAGGTGTCTCCCGTTCACAGTCACCGGGGGAAAAGCCCGGGATCCAGAAAGAGAGATCAGTGACAAGCTGGCTTTAGGGATGATCCAGCCCCCTCCAGCCCAGGGCCTCCCGTGTGGGATTTTTGTAGTGTGCGCCTCAGTTTCCCTGTGTGCTGCATGTTTAACAAGGTGGAGGGAGAGGGTTTGTTGTTGCAGAGGACCAGATGTGACCTCGCCTAGCAGCCGGGGCGCCCGGACAACGGCGTGGAGATGGGGTACCCTAGTGTCCGGTGACCTGGTGACCAAGAGGCTCAGCCCAGTGTGGAAGGCAGCTGGTTCTGGCCAGTGGGAGGACAAAGGGCTGAGGAGAGAGGACCCTGGTGACCTGACCAACCAGTTCCAGCCAGAGGGGAACAAAGGATGGAGGAGAGAGAGACCCAGTGACCTGTTTACCTGGGACAGAAGACAAAGGATAGGGGAGGAGCTGTTGGGGGAGATGATATCGGATGATTGGCTGGAAGGAGGCGGCTGCTGGACTAGGGAGAGAGAGCAGCCAGAGCCCCCCTGGATGCGGGATAGACTTAGATGTACTGTGGTGAAGGAGGCCAGGCCTGAAGGCCTGGAGAGTTTCCTGTGCTGGGCTCAGATGCTCAATAAACCGTCCTGTTTTACGCTGGCTGAGAGTCACTCCGGTGCCCTCTGTGTGTGGAGGCCCCGGGGGTTCAGAGCGAGGGGACTCCCTGAGGGGGCCCATGGCAAGAGACAGGCGTGCTGAAGGCTCAGAGAGGTGTGGCTCCAGGAGACGGGGGGGCCTACGGCTAAACCCCCGAGAGACAGTGGACCCCCGAGAAGGGCTGTCGCACTGAAGGGGGTTCCTCCCAGGGACCGTACGGAGCCGAGAGAGAGCATGAGGCCTGTGAGTCCGTGACAGGACGTGGCTGCCTGGGCTGGAGCCTGGATTCATGGGGCGCGGGGGGTCTCGGAGCCCAGGCTCCAGCCCGAGTGGGAACGGCTACACTGCTGTTTTATCCCCACAGCCCAATGAGCTGACCCGGCCTCTGAGACTTGCTGCCGTGGGTTTTGTACGGTGGCAGAGACGTACCCAGGGAGCAGGAAGGGACTGGGCTAGATAAGCCAATTCCACGATTCCTGGGACTCCTCAGGCCTGATTTCTGCTGTTCTCAAGGGTCCCTGCAGAAATCCTCAGGATGAGAGAACCTGGGGGACTGGCCCCTTTAAGAGGGAGCTGGTAAACCTGTGAGTGGTCAGCTGCCTCCCAGCTGGGCTAGAGAGAGGGTACCTGGGCCCTAGCAAGGAGAAACTGAGGCAGCTGGTTGGCTGGGAAGGGCGGGGGGAGCTGCCTGACCGCAGAAGCAGCAGAGAGATGCCGGAGGGAGGAAGCTGCAGGAGAGCAGGAACTGGGAGCTGCTGGCGATGAGTGCTGGGAAGGCTGGTGAGGTCTGGCTCGAGCTGCAGGAAAGCTTGTGGCCCCTATGAACAAGTAAGCCGGGCCCACAAGCCAGGGGCTGCTCTGCAGAGAGGTGCCCAGGAGCAGGGGTAGGGCTCACCAGCAGTAGGACGCCGCGGGGAGCCCTCCGGCAGAAGAGCGAGTGGGGGCTGCAGGAGGCAGTTAGGAGCACAGGGCTGGTCCTGGAGGGAGGTTCCCTGGGCAGGGGTAGGGCTCACCGGCAGGGAGGCCTGGAGGAGTGACACGCTGCAGGGAGCCTCTCCCGGGAACACTGACGTGGGGCTGCAGGAGAGATGTGGGGCCCTGGAACGGGAGCTAAGGAACTGGGGCAGGGGGTTAGTGACTGTCGGGTGGGTGACCTTGGACAGCGACCCCTGAACGGGAGTGAAGGCTGCTGCCGCGGTAGCCTCGGCTGGCGCTGGGGTTGGGGAGGGCCTGTCTGTACCACGAGGGATCTGTGGACTGGCTCCGTATATGAATTAAAGGGGCTCAGTTTGCTGCTGAGAGACACAATATTTCTTTGCATGGCTGGATGAAGGGGAAACTGAGGCGAGACTGTAGCGGGTTCTTGGGCTAGCAAAGGGTGAGGAGGCTAATTAGGCTTTTGGGTGGGGCAGGAGTGCCTCCCTTCACCACATCAGGCTGCTCCACTGGCCCCATGCAGGGGTTCCCTGCCCCACTCTCCCTGCAACACGGAAATAAGCCCTACAAGGATGTTGTTGCAGTTCTCAAAGCAAAGCCAATGTTAGCTACCCCCAGGCAACCCTCAGGGGATAGTAAACTTAGAAGAAACAAAAACAGTGGGAAGGAGCAAAATGCACAGATAGGGCAGGCGAACACCTGTAACTGCCCCTGGAGAGTCTCCAGCCTCTGATCTCCAGTGCTGCTCATCCCATCCCTGCCACTTCATCCTGAAAATGCTTCTGCTGTGCAGCCCCATGCAGCCCCCGGGCACCAGCCCCCGAGCGCCAGCCCCACGCAGCCCCCGGGCACCAGCCCCACGCAGCCCCCGGGCGCCAGCCCCACGCAGCCCCCGGGCGCCAGCCCCATGCAGCCCCCGGGCGCCAGCCCCACACAGCCCCACAGCACTCCACACACAAGACTGTAATGCAACACAACAACCATGCAACGCAGGCGTCTCACCCGTGGCACCGATGGCAAGATGCATCCCTGTGCACCCTGCACACACCCATGCCAGCCGGCTCTCACCTTGGCAGTACCGGCCCGTGTACCCCGGCAGGCAGTCGCAGTGGCAGGTGCTCATGTTCAACCGCCCGTCGTTCCTGCAGCTCATCCGACAAGGGTTCCTGGGGACCTCTGATCAAACAAAACGCACAAGGCGGCTGTAAGATGGCAGGTGCCCAGCTGTGCCAGCCAGTGCCCAGGGCCCCACTGTGCCAGCAGGGCAGGGGGACTAGCATAATCTAAGTTCAAGTGAAGGTACCGGGCAGGGGGGAGCAGGGCGGGGGGGAGCCGGCACTCACCACACAGCCCCCCGCTGTGATCCCACGACTTGAAGCATCCGGAGCATCCTGAGGTGCAGAGCGAACACCAGGCTCCTTTCTTGTAAGGGATGATCGTCTTCCCGTTCATCTCCCAGTTCCCCCTGGGGGCGGAACAGACAGGCATGGAGCCGCAGGGCCAGGGGCCCCAAGGACAGTCGCAGGTAGGCTCCGGGGCTCTCTGCCTTTCCAGCCCAGCCCAGGGGCCATGTGGGTTGTCCCCAGGCAGCTACAATGTGCAAGGGCCCACATCACACTCGGAGGTTTGGCCACAACTCCCCACCTCCTCTGCTCCACCGCTGGAGCTGGGCGACCAGCCTGTGAGCTGCACAGGCTGCAATCGGCCCCTAATGCTTAATAGAAGGGAGAACAGCATCTTCTGCCCAGGCAAGTCTGGCCAGTTGATTAGCCCCACCCACTTTTGCTCCCAAGCCCCGCCTCCCTTAATTATAAGCCACACCCACCATCCTCTTCCCTGGGACCAAGTCTTACCTTCTTTCATTGTAAGCCCCACCCACCTTTTACTTCCTGTGGGCCAAGCCCCACCTACTATTATTTTAAACCCCACCTATTTTCTACTTCCATTGACAGACCCTTCCACCCACCTTCTACTTCTGTAGGGCCAAGCTCCGCCTACTGTCATAAGCCCCACCCACTCTCTGCTTCCATCGACAGACCCACCCACCTCTTTCATTGTAAATCCCACCCCTGGGGCCAAGGTCCTCCCACTTCCTGGTGCGAAGGTTGCAGCTCTCTCAAGACATCCAGATAGACTTATGTGTAGTGCTGGGGAGGAGCCGGTGGTCATAGTACCTGTAGGTACCAGTGACATAGGGAAGGATAGGAGAGAGGTCCTAGAGGCCAAATTTAGGCTGCTAGGTAAGAGATTAAAGTCCAGGACCTCCATGGTAGCATTCTCTGAAATGCTTCCAGTTCCATGCGCAGGGCCGGTTAGGGAGGCAGAACTGCAGGGTCTCAATGCGTGGATGAGACAATGGTGTAGGGAGGAGGGGTTTAGATTTATTAGGAACTGGGGAAACTTTTGGGAAAGGGGGAGCCTATAAGGAAGGATGGGCTCCACTTAAACCAAAATGGATCCAGATTGCTGGCACTTAACATTAAAAAGGTCGTAGAGCAGTTTTTAAACTAAGGGCTGGGGGGAAGCTGACAGCTGTGGAGAAGCACGTGGTTCGGTCAGAGACATTCCATAGGGGAGGATCTACTAATGGAGATTCTCCATGTCCTAGTAAGGAGGACAGGATGGAAGATGATAAATAGGGGAAGAATCTGATGAGAAAGTCAAATGAAAAAAATTCCCATTCAACTACATCACGTAATGGCAGACAGCTAAAAAGGAACACATTTTTAAAGTGCTCATATAGAAATGCTAGAAGTCTAAATAATAAGATGGGTGAACTAGAGTGCCTTGTGATAAAGGAGGATATTGATATAATAGGCATCACAGAACCTGGTGGAATGAGGATAACCAATGGGACACAGTAATACCAGGATACAAAATATATCAGAAGGACAGAACAGGTCATGCTGGTGTGGGAGTGGCACTAGATGTGAAAGAAAGCGTAGAGTCAAATGAAGTAAAAATCTTCAATGAACCAAACTGTTCCATAGAATCTCTATGGATAGTAATTCCATGCTGGAATAATGAGAATATAGCAGTAGGGATATACTCCCGACCACCTGACATGGCCCTGCTGTATCACAATATTCATAAATGATTTGGGAAACGGGGTAAATAGTGAGGTGGCAAAATGTGCAGATGATACAAAACTACTCACAATAGTTAAGTCCCAGGCAGACTGCGAAGAGCTACAAAAGGATCTCACGAAACTGGGTGACCAGGCAACAAAATGGCAGATGAAATTCAATGTTGATAAATGCAAAGTGATGCACATTGGAAAACATAATCCCAACTATACACATAAAATGACGGGGTCGCTCAAGAAAGAGACGTTGGAGTCATTGTGGATAGTTCTCTGAAAACATCCACTCAATGTGCAGCGGCAGTCAAAAAAGTGAACAGAACGTTGGGAATCATTAGGAAAAGGATAGATAATAAGGCAGAAAATATCATTTTGCTGCTATATAAATCCATGGTATGCCCACATCTTGAATACTGCGTGCAGATGTGGTCGCCCCACCTCAAAAAAGATATATTGGAATTGGAAAAGGTTCAGAAAAGGGCAACAAAAATGATTAGGGGTATGGAATGGCTTCTGTATGAAGAGAGATTAATACGACTGGGACTTTTCAGCTTGGAAAAGAGATGACTAAGGGGGGATATGATAGAGGGCTTGTGACGTTATTGATATAATCTGGGACCATATAGATCATTGTTGCAACCAAGGTCCTGTAGTGGCACGCAAATCTTGTATAAAGGGGGTCAAATGGGGTGTCTAAGACAAGGTTATGGTTTACTGGTTATGATTAGGCTGTCTATATGTGTGTATCAATTTTGTAGTTGAAGTTATGAATATTGGCTCTATACTGTCTGTATTTCAAACTTTTGCTATGCTGCTGGGTGACATCCCAGACAAACTGGTGTTAGCTCTGCCTAGCCTGCTTGATGGCCCATTAAGGACCATCAGCTATACAATGGACCCATTGAGAGAAGGCAAATATGCCTTGAGACTCAGCAAAGTATGCAGGAACTTGCCCATGTGACTCCAGACTCCATTTTGCTGTAATTTTCCACAGTAAGAACAAAGAGGTGTTCTTACACCTGGAAAAGACTATATAAGGCTGATTCCTCATCTCCATCTTGTCTTCAATCCTGCTTCGTACCTCTGGAGGGCCTTTGCTACAAGCTGAAGCTTTGGACAAAGGACTGAGGACCCATCCCAGCGGGGGATGTATTCCAGAGACTTGATTTGAACCTGCAGTTTATTCTATCGCTGCTGCAAGCCTGAACCAAGAACTTTGCCATTACTGTATGTAATTGATTCCATTTAACCAATTCTAACTCTCATCTCTATCTTTTTCCTTTTATGAATAAATCTTTAGATTTTAGATTCTAAAGGATTGGCAACAGCGTGATTTGTGGGTAAGATCTGATTTGTATATTGACCTGGGTCTGGGGCTTGGTCCTTTGGGATCAGGAGAACCTTTTTCTTTTACTGGGGTATTGGTTTTCATAACCATTTGTCCCCATAACGAGTGGCACTGGTGGTGATACTGGGAAACTGGAGTGTCTAAGGAGATTGCTTGTGAGACTTGCGGTTAGCCAGTGGGGTGAGACCGAAGTCCTCTTAGTCTGGCTGGTTTGGTTTGCCTTAGAGGTGGAAAAAAACCCAGCGTTGGGCTGTAACTGCCCTGTTTGAGCAATTTGTCCTGAGTTGGCACTCTCAGTTGGGTTCTGCCAGAACCGCATTGTCACAGGACTATAAAATCATGACAGGTGTGGTGAAAGTAGGTTTCAGAGTGGTAGCTGTGTTAGTCTGTATCAGCAAAAACAACAAGGAGTCCTTTATCAGAGGGGTAGTCGTGTTAGTCTGGATCTGTAAAAAGCGACAAAGAGTCCTGTGGCACCTTATAGACTAACAGACGTATTAGAGCATAAGCTTTCGTGGGTGAATTCATTCATCTGACGCAGTGGGTATTCACCCATGAAAGCTTATGCTCCAATACATCTGTTAGTCTATATGGTGCCACAGGACTCTGTGTCACTTTTTGGGGAGTCCTTGAGGCACCTTAGAGACTAACACATTTATTTGGGCATAGCCCATGAAAGCTTATGCCCAAATACATTTGTTAGTCTCTAAGGTGCCACAATCAGGGCCGGCTCTGGCTTTTTGGCCGCCCCAAGCAAAAAAACAAACAAAAAACCTGCGGCGCGGCCGGAGCGCGGGGGCGGGGGGGGCGGCGGGGGGGGGGGGGGGGGGGGGGAGGGCGCGGGCGGGAGAGAGAGAGAGGGCTCCGCTCCGGTCGGCGGGGAGTGAAGGAAGAGGACTGCACTGCAGGGCGCTATGGTTCTCCGTGCCGCCGCCCCCTACAGGGCGGCTGGAGTGGAACAAGAACAAACAAACAAACAAAAAGCGGCCGTGCCGCCCTAGGATTGGGCAGAACGCCGCCTCGAACAGTCTGCCGCCCCAAGCACCAGCTTGTCAGCTGGTGCCTGGAGCCGGCCCTGGCCACAAGGACTCCTCGTTGTTTTTAAGGAAGTGTTATTTACTCCTTCTCATAACACAAGAACTAGGGGTCATCCAATGAAATTACTAGGCAGTAGGTTTAAAACAAACAAAAGGAAGTATTTTTTCACACAATGCACAGTCAGTCCGTGGAACTCTTTGCCAGAGGATGTTGTGAAGGCCAAGACTATAACAGGGTTAAAAAAAAACCTAGATAAATTCATGGGGGATGGATCCATCAATGGCTATTAGCCAGGCTGGGCAGGGATGGTGTCCCTAGCCTCTGTTTGCCAGAAGCTGGGAATGGGAGACGGGGTGGATCACTTGATGATTCCCTGTTCTGTCCACTCCCTCTGGGGCACCTGCCATTGGCCACTGTCGGCAGACAGGATACTGGGCTGGATGGACTTTTGGTCTGACCCAGTGTGGCCATTCTTATGTTCCATTATAAGCCCCACGCACCAAGTTTCTCTGGCATTGACAGACCCGTTCACCCATGCCTGCAGCCTGGGGGGGGGGGGGGGGGGGCGGGGGGGGTGTGTGTGGGGGGGCGGTGGTGTTGGCTCACTGGGGCTGCCGGGGGAGATGAGGGGGGTGAGTACGTGGCCCAGGTGCCTGCCAGGCGGGAAGGGCGGTAGGCCCCGGCCAGGCTGCCCGTGCGCACGCCGAGAGGCCTTACCCCGGGGAGTAGGCGCAGACGAAAGCCTCTCTCCTCTCCTGGCCCGCGATGCAGGCGTGCTTCCCGCAGCCCAGCCTGCTGGAGGTGGCCCAGACCAGCTGCAAGAGAGACACGGTGCAGGCCTCAGCGCGCCTGCCCAGCCTACGCCCTCCCCACGGCTGCAGGCGCAGTGCCAGCTGTGTGGGGGTTGCCAGCTGTCGCGGGGTGGCTGTAGGGCCGGCGATTGCTGCCCACCGGGTCACACTGCGAAGGGCTGGGAAAGGCCTATAGGGAGATCCCCCCCGTTCTCCCCCCACTATTAAACTGGCAGGCCAAAGAGTCTCAGCCCAGCGCTCTGCAGGGAGCCCAGATAGCCAGTGTGAACAATCACCTGGGGATGGGGTGGGGGATATTTGGTGCCTGTATAAGAGGAAGCCCTGAATATCGGGCCCTCTGGTCACACTACCCGCATCCCATGGCCTGCTTGGATCCACCCCTGCCACAGCTCGTTCCACAGAGCACTGAGCTCCCCTCCCTTTAGGGTTGCCAACCCTCTGGGATTGTCCAGGAATTAAAGATGAATCTTAAATTAAAGATTATGTCATGTGATGAAATCTCCAGGAATTCGTCCAACCAAAGTTGGCAACCCTAGCTCCCTTCCCCCCCCCCGGCCTGGGAAAGCCCTGCCCGTGCCCTGGCTGAGGAGGGGCAGGTATGGCCCAGCCTCTCCCCAGGCCCTGCAGGGGCAGGGTGTGAGGGGGCTGGCTCAGCTCTGGGCCCAGCCATCCCACACGAGCAGTCCCAGCCCCGGCTGCTCGCCAGATGGTCATTCCCTCCCCCCCCGCCCCGCCCTCGGGGACGATGTGGGCATACGCGGGGTCCAGGCCTCCCACAGGGCCTCGCCCGCATGAGCAGGGCTGGAGCCCTCTTTGTCAGGCCCAGCATTACCAGCACTACGCCCTGTCCCTGGCCACCTGATTGAGCAGCCAGGCCCTTCGGGCCCTGCTGGCTTTCCCTGACGGAGGACAGCAGGCGGTGATGGGGACTAGGCAATGACCAACAGGCTTAGGTGCATTTTCATGGCCCTGACAGCCACGGGGCTGGATCCTGGGCAGGGATGAACTCCAGCGGCCAGCAGGGGCTCGCCACACACAGCTCTGCCCATGTGCCTCCATCCTGACCTGCAGGCCACCTGCTCTTCCAGCCCTGGGCTACCTGGAGCGGCCCCGGGGCACCCAGTCACGTGGTGGAGGTTCTGTGATACACAGGGAACCGTTCTCGCTGTACCAAACTCTGCTCTCCTGCAGGGTGTGTGCTGGTACCCAGCGCCCCCGGGAGGAGACAGCGCCGGGTCCCTGGCTGGCTTACCTGGGTGTAGTGGCTGCAGGTGGTGTTCTCCAGGCACTGTGCTGCGTGATAGTCGTAGCTCCGTCCCTCGCTGAACCACAGCTCCACCACGGCAGCAAAGCTGGCCGCCCCGGCTGGGAGCAGCTGGGTATTCCAGCCCACATGCTGGGTGTGGTGCGGAGGGCGGGGCAGGGCCCCCGCCAGGCAGCTGGCTGCTCGCTCCTGGGCCAGCTGGGCCAGCTTCTCGCTCCAGTCCTGTCAGCGTGGAAAGTGAGCGTTAGCATGCAGAGCCTGGGGGGGGGGGGGGGCCTGGCCAGCACGGCCTCCGCAGGGGCCTCGGGCGCTGGGTCCATTGTAATAACTATAGGGGCAGTGGGCTGCAGCCCTTCCCATCCCCTTGGGGACAACCCCCGGGCAGCTGGTGAAAGCAGACGGCCCAGATCTCTGCTCCCCTCCCGCCACCACCGGGGCCTCGGATCTGCTGCGCTGTTCCAGCCACAAACTGCTCCCCACAGCTGGCGGGAGAACCCCGGCCCTCCCTGCTCAGACCCGGGGGGAGGCAAACCCAGATCAGTGCGGCCACGTTTACAGAAGTGGGCACTGGTATGTGGGGCCCAGCTTGAAACACCTGCAGCTCCCGCTGGCTGCGCGGGGGAGCCCCCGGCTGGTTGCAAAGGGGGAGCCCCCTGGCTGGTTGCAAAGGGGGAGCCCCCGGCTGGCTGCAAAGGGGGAGCGCCCCCCAGCTGGCTGCAAGGGGGAGCCCCCCAACTGGCTGCAAGGGGAAGCTGCAGGTTCATATCCCCTCTGTAGACCAGGCCCTCAGTGGCTCAGGCCATGCCCCTTTCCAAACCGCTTGCCTCAGTCCATGCCATGAGGGGCTGCAGCAGAAGGCACAGAGCGGCGTGGCTCTTCGACACCAAGGCCGGGCCCTCGCCCTCCTGAGACCGCCCGTGGTAGCCACTGAGCAGCAGGTTCTCTGCAGGCCTCGTGCTCACCAGCACCGCTGTGCCCCTGCGATTGCCGATGGCTCTGAGCACCGGGGCGGGCAGGAGCTCGGGGCCAGAGCTCAGTAGGTGCCAAGCAGCTGAGCTCCAACTGAGGCCTGCCGAGGATCTGATCCTCTGTGCCCACTCGATGGGCAGGGGGACACAGCAGGGCCAGGACATGCATGTGGCGGCTTTCCTGGGGCAGGGACGGTGTCTAGCCCTGGCGTCGTGAGTTCAGTGTCCAACCCCTCAAAGCGGGCTGGATCCAGCCTGCGTGGGAGGAGGAGGATGGCACGTAGGGGTGGGAGGAAGACCAGGCAGTTGTTTGTTCCCAGGCAGAAAAACATCTTGTTCCAGACAGTTAAAATTGCAATTTCCATGGCTCTCAGGGCAGCCGAAGGGAGGAGGAAATGACAGAGCCTCTCACAGGCCAGGAGCCAAGCGCCACACGTGGGAGCTGCGCTGAGTCACCCTCCCTCACCGCTGCCAGCAGACATGCCAGGCTCCCAGCCCCGGGACGGGGACTGACACATGGGGAGCCCATAGGATCCTTCCAGCTGATCCCGGGGGTGGGGGGTGGGGTAAAAGGCCCTGCTGGGAAGCTTTCCCCCTCCTTAGCCCCAGAGATGGGTGTGGGCGGGGGCTTGGTGGAACGCCCTCGAGGATGAGGGTGGCAAGCAGGGCAGTTCTTCAGGGACGGAGGGCAGGGCAGCCCTAGCGCACTGGGGAGACACAGCGTCGGGAGTTAACCGCGCCTGCTCAGTACAGCTCTGGCCCTTTGAGCCCTCCGGGGGCACAGTGCTGGTCAGTGGAGGTTGCCATGCAGAGCCGCAGGGGTTTTAAAGGGCCAGCCGTGGACTAAATCCTGGGGAACCGCCACGTTCCTCGCCCCTCTCCTCGGCGCTGGGAAGGCATGGTTCCCCGACACTCTTGCTCATCCCTAGGGGCTGGCAATGCTAAGAATCACCCAGCTGCGCGTTAGCTTCCTGGTTCGTGCATCCTAGGTGATGGCAGATTTGGGCTCAGCATCCCCCCGGGCACAGCCAGAAGGGGAAGCAGCCCAGATGCTTGTTTTGGTAGGCCCCACAAAAATGGCGGCAATTTTCGTTTCTTAGCAACAGCTCGGTTAAATGACCACTAGCAAACAGCCAAGCTATTCGCTGGTTTGCTCCTGCCAGCGTTGAGAGTAATGGCAAAACTCCCAGCGATTGCCATGCAAATAGGATCAGGCTGAACAAAGCCACCTATTAAAGCTGCCTGGCTCCTGCTAGCTTGTCACCGGGCCATGAGATGCCACCGTGCACCCTTAAAGGGACAGCACCGCTCCGGCCTGGGGCCCCTTGCCGGCCTGTTTCTACATGGAAGCTGGACCCACCCGTGACCCACGTGCACAGACTGAGCAGTGTGGCCTGTGCGACATTTGAAACAGCCCGTGGTCGCCTCCGGGTGCCCTGTGAATTTATGCTGAGCCATTCAGGATGACAAGGCCGTTTCCTCCCCAGACCCATGTGGAGAGCTGGGGGAGTTTATTATCCTTGAAGAAACCAGCCGTAAAGCACCCGCACCCACTCACCACTCAAACCTCCCCTCCCGCTGCCTGAGTTAAACCAACTCCGTTAATTATTGCTAACGAGGTGCCAGGCTGGGAGGACAAGGAGATTAATGGCCTTTTGTTCCAGAGAGCTGCCCTGGCCTGCCCAGCTGTGCCAGTCCCAGTGCCCGCAGCCCCCACGCACTCCTTGCCCATGGCCCACTCACCCCTGGCTGCCCCAAGCAGCACCGTGGCTGAGGGGCAGGGGGAGGCAAGGGATAGGGGGTTGGAGCCAGATTTCAGCCTCCCCAGAGGTCGGGGGTTGCTTTGGCCCATCATAGACCTAGGGCCGGATTCACAAGCACTCAGCACCCAGCGTGCTGGGCTCGTGAAAATCTGTCCCTTAGTGACCAGTGGCACCATTCGGATCCAGCCCCGCCGGGTCTCTGAGCCCCCTCCAGATAAAACCCCGGGCGCTGGGCTCGGACTCCTCTGCCTCCGGGCAAAGGCAGTGCTGGGACGCCAGCGAGGGGCCAAAGCAGCTTGCAGCTGCTGCTGCTGGGCCTGCCACGCCCTGGCGCAGGGGGAGAGAATATTTGCTTTTCAGTAAGGACAAATCAGCTGCCAGGCGGGTGCGACCTCACCCTTGCCAGCCAGTGCCCCGGGCACCCAGCTCCCTGCCCCAGGGCTTGCAAATGACATACTCAGCCTGCGCTAGCAGCTGAGCCGGCTGAGGGGAAGCGGCTGAGGTACCATGGGTCATTTCCCTCCTGCTGGCAGGGCCTTACCTCCCACGGAGTCAGCCCAGGGCTCCACCTGGGCCCGCCTCCTGCCCCATGGGACCAGCCTGAGAGGCCCCTAGTCCCATGTCCCACCCAGAGGGGGGATGGGCCTGGCACTGCAGAGGAAGGAGAAGGGAAGCGGGATGCACCGGGACAGTGCCCGTCTGCAGGGTCCCGTGGAGGTGGATGTTAGACACTCCACTGCACCAGGCCCAGCGTTCTGACCCCAGATGTGCTGGTAGACAGGGACCATCCTGGGGGCTAGACACAGGCCAGCGCCGAACTTCCCTGAGGGAGGCCAGCACCACCTCGGGCAGACCTCTGGACCAGACTGTCCCCAGTCAGACTCAAAGCCACGGGGGTGGGGCAGGGCTCTCTGCTTCCGGGCGGGGCTTTGTCCCTGCTGGCTGGAGGGAGGGTGCCCCCCATAGAAAAGCCATCCCCAAAGTGGATGGCTCCCCCCATGGCTCCCTTGGAGACCACGGCTAGCTGCAGCCCTGCCCTGGCACCCTGCTTCACTGGAGCTGCTCAAGCAGTGACGGCATCAGTGAGCTCCTGTGCTGTCGGGGAGGTGGGAGGGGAAGACACACAATGCTGCATGCAGTTTGGACCAGCATCCTCATGCTCCCCGGGACCCAGAGTGAGGCCCCCATCTGAGTGACTGAGACGGGTTTGCTGTTTTGTCCCACGGGGCCGGGCCAGCCACGGGAGGGAGCCGAGTCCATGGTCCATGGGGCTGTCTGCAACATTCAGTGTATTCAGCCTGGGAACGAAGCTAGCTTGAGTTTGCAGGGCTGCAGGTGGAGAGAACGACCTCGCTAGCTGCTACCCGAGCCCCTCTGCTCTGGAGTCACTGTTAGACAGTGTGTGTGTGTCTGTGTGTGTCTCTGTCTATGTGTGTGTGTGTCTGTTGGTCTCTGTCTGTCTCTGTGTGTGTCTGTGTTTGTCTGTCAGTCTGTGGGTGTCTGTGTGTGTGTGTGTGTCTGTGTGTGTCTCTGTCTATGTGTGTGCGTCTTTGGGTGTCTGTCTGTCGATCTCTGCGTGTCTCTGTGTTTGTCTGTTGGGGTGTGTGTGTGTGTGCGTCTGTTGGTCTGTGGGTGTCTGTGGGTGTGTCTGACTCTCTGTGTGTCTGTGAGTGTGTGTCTCTCTGTGTGTGTCCTGGTACCACTTTGAGCAGGGTCACCCCTCCAGGTTGCGCATGAATGCACCCGTGGTATCTGGCTGATCAACAGGCTGGTCTGAAATGTGCAGCCTTATTTCCGACTGCGCTGCCAGGAGCCGTGTGGGCCGGTGGCACAAGCTGGAGGTGACCGTGGGCAGGGAATCAGTTCAGAGAGCTGGTGCTGGCAAGGGGCTGCAGAGGGCAAGGCTGTGTGGGGCCCCCTAGGGAAGGTCACCCCTCCTGGCCAAGGGGCTAGACCCTCTGGAGGGGGGTCTGTGGTAGCTGAAGGGGGCGGGGAGGGGGGGACACACCATGCAGCACAGATAGGGTTACCATATGTCCGGATTTTCCCAGACATGTCCGGCTTTTTGGTCCTCAAATCCCCGTCCGGGAGGAAATTCCAAAAAGCCGGACATGTCCGGGAAAATCGGGAGGGGTTGTGGGGCTTGGGGCCGGGCTGGAGCCGCTGGGGCCAGAGCCGGAGCCGCTGGGGCCGGCGGTGCTCGGCCAGGGCCGGGGCCGGGTCGGAGCCGGAACTGGGGCCCGAGCTGAGCCGGGCCGGAGCTGCTGGGACCGGGGCTGGGGGTGCTCGGCTGCTGGCCGGCGCTGCTCGCCCAGGGCCGGGGCCGGGCCGGAGCCGCACGGCCGGAACCAGGGCCCGAGACGAGCCAGGTCGGAGCCGCTGGGACCGGGGCCGGCGCGCTCGGCTGGAACCGGGGCTGGCGTCCCAGAGCCCGAGCCGAGCCGGGCCAGAGACGCCGGGGCCAGAGCCTCTTGGCCGGGGCCGGCCACCGGAGGGAGCCGCTCGGCCGGGGGGGCCGGACTGGGCCACGCCTCCTCGCGCCCCAGCCCCAGTCCCAGCTTACCTGCTGCCTGCCTGTTTCAGGCTTCCCGCGAACATTTGATTTGTGGGAAGCAGGGGAGGGGGAGGAGCAGGGGGCGAGGCGTTCAGGGGAGGGGGCGGAGTTGGGGCAGGGACTTTGGGGAAGGGGCGGAGTTGGGGCGGGGCCGGGGTGGAGTTGGGGTGGGGCTGGGGGTGCAGGGAAGGGGCGGAGTTGGGGCGGAGCCGGGGCCCCGTGGAGTGTCCTCTTTTGAGACTATTAAAATCTGGTAACCCTAAGCACAGAGACCCTCCCTCTTTCAGTTGTTGGCCCTGGCTCTCTGCTGCCCTGCCTGGCCTGGAGCTGTGGGTTCAATGGGGCGGAGGGAGGTGAGCAGCGAGCCCTGGACCTTGTGCACTCAGCCATGTCTCCGTGGAGTCCCGTGCATTGTGGCCGGGGGGTGGTGGTGGTGGTTTTGATTCCTGTCCGTGCTCCACACCAGGGCTCAGCCATGCCCCGCCCGCCCCCACCCAGGCCCCAGACTGGCAGGTCCCTGGGCCCGACAGGAGTTCCAGGTCCACCGTGCAGCTCTGTCTCATGCTCCGCGCTGCCGTGTGGCCTGGGCGGAGCAGAGCCCGACAGGGAATGGGGAGAGAGCAGTCCGGCATGGACAGCCCACCCTGGGACTCTGGGCGTGAGCACTAGCCAGAAGGGTTCAGCCGTCGCCCAGTGCCAGGGGCTGATCTGGCCCCTGCATTCTCCACGGGATCCCCCAAAGTGCAGTCGCACCCTCCCCTCCCCTGAGGAGATCGACGGGGTGATCAACGCAGAGCGTCTCCCTCACCAGCAGCCCATCCCCAGGACCCTGCCGGGCCCCTGCTGCGTCTGACCCGTGGGGCTGGGGGCGAGCAGGCAGGCAGAGGGGGACTCACCATCCTCTGCATGTTGGCAGCGGGCGGCTGGACTTTGCTCCGCAGTTTGTTGTGCAGCGAAAGCAGCAGGAAACGTTCCTTCAAGCCTGGAGCTGGGCAGGGGGGGCAAAGCAGGGAGTCGGGGAACACGAGTTCGAGATGAGCAAAGGCCCAGATCCCAACCCCCCGGCCCCAAGCAGACCATGGCTGAGCTGGGGACCCGCAGTCAACTCCAGGAGTTGCAGCCTCCCTGCCCAGGCCACCTCCAGCAGCCGCAGCTCAGGAATCCAGGCCAAGCCGGGCCCCGGCCCCCGGCTGGAGTAATCCTGCAAACAGCCAAGGAAGGGAGACGGGTCTCCATGGTGATAAGGGGAGAGAAGAAAGCCTGGCTTTTAGCGGAATACAAAGCGGGCCAGGCCTGCGAGCCAGTGACACCCGCTCCAGAGCCAGCCCGGGCGTCTCGCTGCTTGGGTACGAATAGGGCGACCCACCCCAGGCTCTGGCAAGGAAAGGGGGGTGGGGCGGGGGAGAATAGCTAGAGAAAAGGGAGAACTTGGAGCATGTTTGCTGGGGCGTTTCTGGGGTCACCCACACGTACATGGGGGGCTGACGGGAAAGGCCGGGGGAGCCCTGTATCCCTGCTGTAGCTCAGGCACAAAGCAGAGTCCTGGCAGGCCGGCTCCACCTGGTTAGCAGCACCCGTTAGAAAATCATTCCCTTTTTCTTGGCACCTGCTGGGTAAAAAATCTGGCCCCGGTTGTGGCCCCCTGGACTGGGCCTGGCCATGTGGCTAACTGCCCTGCAATGTGGCAATCAGACCCTGGGAGCAAAGAGATTGCAAAATTATTGAAACCCATGATCTGTTTGGGGAGAGACAGGCTGGGGCCTCTCCTCCAGCCTGGATAAACCCTGGCCGTGCCCTGACTCCCCCCGCGAGGGAATGGATTTCCCCTTCCTCTCTGCCGGCCTGAGGTTTGGACGCTCGCTTGTCAGCTACAGATGTTACATTCAGCAGCTCCGAGACCTTCCCTCCCGCCAACAAACGATCCGTTAACCTCAGTGTGCAGACCCTTCGCTGGGGTAAACAGGGCCACCAGAGCTGCGCCGATTCACACCACCTGGCCCAGCAGGGTGAGGGCCTGATGCTGGAGAGTGCTGAGTGTCCTCAGCTCCCCTCGGCTTTCGGAGAGGCACAGGGTGCACCAGGAGGCGTAGTGAGCACAGGGTCAGCACTGGCTGCAAGGATATATATTGGTGGGCTCCCCCAGCCTCAGGTCCGAGATCAGATATGTGCCCCCCACAACCAGCTTAGCTGGTGCTGGAAAATCTTGCCCAGCCCCTTAGTCAGTTATTTCAGTGGAATCTGTCAGTTACCTTGCTGCAGCGGCACCAGGGGGGGCAGCTTCTCAGGGTGCTGGTGTACCGGGAACTCCCCCAAAGCAGAGCCCAGCCAGCTGCAGGCCAGTGCCAAGAGCAGGCACGCTGGCATCCGTTTATCCTTCATTCCGATGGCTCTGGGCTCTCTTCTCCCAGGTTAAGGGGCGGATCCCCATGAAGCAGGAGTGTTGTGCCACGCAGTTATCCTGGGCTCCTGCAGCCCGGGCTCCGGGATGTGTCTCTCTCTGGCGGCTTCCAAGTTTTGCTCCTATTCAAAACTTCAGACAAGCACTGCTGGGCGGTTAAACAAAAGGGGGACTGGTGAGTAATGGCTCTGTCCAGACTCTTCCGCCAACCGCTCGCTGGCATGAAAGGAGAGACAGCTCCTGTGCAATCCTCCCGCACAGGCCCCCCCGGCCCGAGCCCTGGCGCTGCGCAGGCCCCGGTGATCACTGGAGCGTTATTCTCCGGGTAGAGCCGCGCGGGGGCAGGCTGATTGGGCCGGGGAACATTCCAAAGGGGCGGATTAATGAATGGGAATCTCAGCTGGCTTTATGCTGCGCTGTTCTCAGCTCATGCAGCTTCGTTTACCACCAACCCGCCCCGCAGGGTGTGCGAGCCTCCCCCTTCCCTCACCCCTCCCGTGCTCTCGTCAGGGACTAGTTGGGTGACTCGAGGGGATGGGGCTTATCATGGTCCTGCTAGGGGCTGAGGGCCCTCAACTCCCACCCATGTCAGACCCGTCCATGCTGGAGATGGGCTGGTTTGTTTCCTGGGAGCCTCACCCCCGCCCCTGTTTTGCCCCATCAATTAAACGTGCTGGAGCCGTAATTTACACCGTTGGGAAAGCGGCCAGGGAGGTTACTAGGGAAAAGGCCAGTTGCAGGCCAGGGGGCGGCTCTGCTGGGACGAGGGAAGAATCTGTTAAAATAACATGCCCATTGTGCAGACACCCCAGGGACACGTCGCAGGGTGGCTGCCAACCAGCAATTGGTTCGCACTCCACACGCGGCAGGGAATTCAGCCCATCCTTGGGAGTCACATCCTGTGTGGCTCAGCACGGGCGGGGTGCTGTAACACACACTGCCCACTGGAGTTACACTTACAAGCAAAATAAATAAGACAAAGGGTGGGAGGGGAAACTGAGGCATGGAGCGGGGAAGGGGCCTAGCAGGCCGGCTGAGCTGGCATAGCATGCAGATCTCCTGAGCCCTAGCCCAGGCCACTGGCCCACAGCACCGGCTCTTTGGAAGCAATAACTATCCCCTCATCCTTTGCTTCCAGCGGGCTCGGCAGCCCACCCAAACGCTGGAGAACGAAGCTGCCCCGTCGCCATGGGAGGGGGAATCTGACGGGAAATGGAGGCACAAGGAGAGAAGGGGCCCAATGGGGCTACAGTACCCCTGAGATTTCCACTGGCTGCGGGAGGAGCCGCTGAGGGCCTGACTTCCCAGCGGTGCTGTGCACCAGCCACCAAGGCTGCCCTCAGGGAACTGGCGCCCCAGAGTCAGAGGCCACCACTGAAGACGCTGGTCTCCGTGATCTGCCCAGCGTCTCGCGGGCAAGCCACGCAGAGCTGGGTCTCCTGAATCCCAGCCTGGGGCCTCGATCACAAGGTGCTGTGATTATCGGGGTGGGGGACTAGGAGAGACGCTGAGCCCCTGGGGCACCCCCTCACCCACTACCACTGGGCCTTCCACACCCCGGCACCTGGGAACGTCGGAGCAGCTGCATCTGAACCCTGGGCTCCCTTGGGCCGGCCAGTCGGCTTCTCCAGCCTTACGGCCTCCCCGTGAGTGAGGCAGGCGGGGAGCTGCCGGGGGTGGAGCAGGTGGCAGAGGAGCCGGGCTGAGAGGGAAGACGAGAGTTTCTGTGCTGGGGCTAAGGCGGTGGGACATGCAGGGCCTGCGGTGGGAGGGGAGGAAGCCGGTTTGGGGGAGGCTGCCTGGAGGTGGGAGCTGGGGGGACGGGAAGGGACGGGTTCAGAGCCCTGAGGGACACCAACGGGGGGGGGGAGGTGCTGTGAAGGGGACAATGGCCAGCGAGGTTGGAAGAGAGCCCAGAGCCGGGAGAGCTGAGGAGGCCACACAGCAGCAAGGGGTAGGTGGCGCTGCGTGCAGGGTGGTCGGTGTAACCGTGATAAGGGCTGACTCTTCCCCCAGGAGCTCTTTGCCAATGCAGGACGTTCGCGAGCACGGGGTAGCCGGGTGTTTCCAGGCAGGCTCTAGGCTAAATTCATCGGAGGAGGGTCTTCAGCAGGACTTTCCTTGCGCAATAAGGTCTCCTGCCTTGGCATGGGAGCTGCACCCCCTGTGTCCTCATCCACTGCCCATCAACACCTGCTGGGCTGGAGCCAGCTTCTGCAGACAGGGCATCTCACAGCGAGACTGGCCCCAGCAGCACCACAGAGCAAGGCTGATGGCCCGCCAGGGGCCAGGGACTGAGAGGCAGCAAATGGCCCTGCATCTCCACCAAGCACGGGCAATCCCATGGCAGGCTTGGGAACGCAGGGCCGGCAGAGACGCGTGGGCATCCTGCCGCAGAATGGGGCCGGGGGCCTGCCCGTTTCTGGACCTGCCCGCATGCTGCAGGGGGTTCCCCACAGCATGGGACGAGGGGGCCACCAGTGCACAGGAGGGCTGCCAATGGCTGGCTCAGGGGTGGTGGGCGGGACCCGGGGGTCTAGCCCCAGCTGCCCACGTGACTGCCTGTTCTAAAATACTCTGCACATCTCTCAGACCCGGAGCCACCATCGCCGGTCACCTCGGGACTTTACTCACCGCGGGGCGGCTCCCGGGCTCCCAGCCAGCAGGAGTGGCTACAAACAACTGGTGACAGGGTCATGAAGCGAGCAGTTCTGCTGGGAGCCCCGCGTGGCGGCGCTAGGCCACAGCCATGTCTAGCGGCGAGAACCAGCCTGTGTGTCCGGGGCCTGTAACATTCAGTGCAGCTGCTTCTCTACCATAGGGAAACTCCACTGCTGTCCCTATCAGGCTCAGACCTCGCCCGCAGCTTTGTTACCCCTGGGCAGACAGCTGCACGGCGCCCTGCCCAGTGCCCTTCTACAAGGGAAGAATGCAGCTACCCTGCGTATTCCATTACACCCTGGCACACTGTGCCCACTGCGAGGACCATTGTGCCTTGCCGTTGAAGATCTCAATGCTGTTTACGTCAGTGGGTATTATCAATCCATTTTACTGATAGGGAAACTGAGGCACAGAGCGCTTAGTGACTTGCCCAAGGCCATGCGGTCAGTCAGTGGCACAGCCGGGAATAGAACCCAGGACTCCTGACTCCTACCCCTGGGTTCTACGAGCTGTAGATGACACACCTTCCAGATATGCCCTGCCCCACCTTGAATCACCAACTCCTTCCTCTTAATTCTCCCGGGGAAAACCAATTCCACTGCAGCAGCTCCCAGCCGCAGTGCTGTGTGAAGAGAAGGAAGACATGAAGCAGGCACTGCCACACGTCCGTGTCCATACGGTGACCTGTTTTAGCCAGGGCCCCAGGCACTGCAGGTCGCCGAAGCTGCAGCATTTGCCAAAGAATCCACCCCTTGCTGCAGAATTGTGCCCCAGAAGCTAATGTCGCCTCTAAAAGAAATGCCAGGCAGCTCCTCAGCCGCTGTGATTGGCATGGCTCCGTTGGCACCAATGCTAGGCTGCCATAGCCCAGTGGCGTGTCAGGCCCTACATTTTCTAGCCCGTTTGGTTGATGCCAACTCTGTTAGCTGATTCACTGTTGATCATTTTAGCAAACGATCCAGCCAATGTGCTTATCTCACAGTCCCAAAGGCCAGGGGCCAGAACAAGCTGTTTCCCTAAACCTCCAGCTTACCCCTGTCAGCTTCCAGAAGGCCGTGGTGTGTTTTAATGCACAATTCTGCAGCCCCTGGCAAATTTAACCTCACAATCGACTCGGATGGCAGATTAAACAACAGAAGGGGGACCCTGCTGGCTGTAGCATGAACTTTCAGATGGAATCGAATTGACATTTTTCTCATGGGCTGGTGCAGAATGAGGGTCACTCTTGCTGCACAGCAGGTGCGGGGCCTTGCTCTTAGGTACGATGGCTAAGCCGTGGAATCTGAAAACGTGAACACTGAAGCATGTGTCCAGTTTGTGTTAGGCGCTCTGGCGCCTGCAGGGGGCACTAGTCTCTCTCCTATCTCACACGCAGCTGCCCAGACACAACCTGAGCGGCCTGTGACTGGGTTGGTTATTTCCTATTGAATAGACAGTGTGCAGCACCCAGAGGGCATTGGGCAAAGTGACACCCCAGCTGAATCCCTCCCATCCCGTGTGCCTGTCCCATGCCCGTTGGCGCTGAGATGAAGCTGGAATGTTTTCAGTCTGGGCTGGGGGGTCAGAAGCCACCAGTGTAATGATTGCCTGGACTCTGATCATGCAGGGATCCCCCAGCCTGGCTTGAGAGGTGTCAGATCCCAGAAACCCTCTGATTCATGCCCACAAGAGGCAGATACTTCCCTATTCATGTCCCTGTATTCAGGGCCTGGAGTAGTGCTTTATATGAACAGCCCTTGGATACACCAGCCCTGTCAATCAGCCCCACCTGTGCTAATTAACAGACTCTCAGCCAGGACTGACTGGGCACAGGTGACGGCCTGAGAAACCCCTGGGCAGAGACCCCAGTTTGGAGGGGGAGCCCAGGGAGCTCCGCAGCAGGCCTGGAAGAAGCTGCCCTGTCCCAGAGGCTGGAAGCCGCACAGGCAGCCCAGAGCGGCTGAGATGGGAAAGGTCACTAGGGAGTCAGCCCCTGAGAGACCAGGGGAGGCCAGGAGAGCAGCAGAGGGCATTTGCCCGCTGGCCTCTTGGAGCTGGAGGTAGACAAGGCAGGACAAGGCCTGTGGAAGGACTCCAGCTAGAAAGGACCGGGAGTGGTTCTTTGGGGACTGTGCCTGGAAGATTGTTTTGCCAATAAACCCCCCATCTGTGAACCAGGTGAGAGGAAACGGAGGTGGAGCCATACTCGGCCAGCAGGGGGTGCTCTGGGTCTGGAAAACCCACTGTGCTCCTGGTCAATCAGCCGCAGAGGGGACGCTGATGTGCGGGAGAGGGGTGCTGCCCAGCTGGGGCTGTTGAAGAGGCAGGAGTGTGTCTGCTG